CTATGGAGCACCATTCTACTCTGACACACATGGGGTTGCCATGAGGCAGAATCACCGCCACGGCAACTGGTTTTTTTTTTTGTTTTGTTCTGTTTTATTTGTCTTAAAACTGCCTTCAGTGGGAGTTTGAGTCCCACCATCAACCCGCTGGCCAGATGAAGGACTTACTTGCTCAGTAATCCAGTTGTAGCAGGAAGAGTTAGGACTTCTCTGCATTACCCGGAGTTACTTTGAGTAGGTAGATATTCTTTCTTAATTGTTCTCGGTGGGTGGCTGCGTAAAGGTTTTTTTGTTTTTTGTTTTTTCTTAATTAGTCTGATGCTTCCAGAAATGTAAATAGTTACTTCATAATGTTTTGCGCCAGTATTTTGTCTGAGTCTCCGTGCCTTGTAGGGGAAAAGAGAAAACTAAATTAGTTGACGGAGCAAGGCTTCATTTAGGCAAACTGGTATTTTTAACTCCATTGCTGGAGTTAATAGGAGCCTGGTGGCACAGTGGTTAAAGCACTCGGCTGCTAACTGAAAGATTGGCACTTTGAACCCACCAGCCCCTCTGTGGGAAAAAAAGACCTGCCAGTCTGCTCCCATAAAGATTGCAGTCTTGGAAACGCTATGGAGCAATTCTATTCTGTCACATGGGGTCACTATGAGTTGGAATCTGCTCCATGGCACCCAACAACAACAGTTCTCTGTCATGTGGGGAGGGCTGGAGGGGGGGCTGTCCTGTATTTAAACGTTGCTAGAGGCATTGGGGAAACCCCGGTGGCACAGTGGCTAGGAGTTTGGCTGCTCACCAAAAGGTCAGCAGTTCAAATCCACGAGGAACTCGTTGGAAACCCTATGGGGCAGTTCTTCTCTGTCCTATAGGGTCGCTATGAGTTGGAATCAACTTGATGGCAATGGGTTTGGTGTGATTTTGGTTTAGAGGCACTGGAAGGAGCTCTAGTGGATCAGCTGTTAAAGCGCTCGGCTGCCAACCTAGAGGTTCGAACCCACCAGCAGCTCCACGGCAAAAAAGACCTGGCAATCTGCACCCAGAAAGGTTACAGCCTTGGAAACCCTAAGGAGCAGTTCTCCTTTGGCCGGTTGGGTAGTCGTGAGTCAGAATTGACCTGACAGCAATGGGTTTGAGTTTTGGTTTGATAATCTGCATGCAGAGTCCCTGGCTGGTACAAACCACGCTCAGCTGCTAACCAAAAGGTTGGAGGTTCAAGTCCACACAGAGGCACATTGGAAGAAAGACCTGGCAATCTATTTCCAAAAGGTCAGCTGTTGGAAACCCTATGGGGCAGTTCTGCTCTGTCCTATAGGGTCACTATAGTTGGAATCAACTCGGCCGTGGCTTGGTTAAAGAAAGGGCGCATATGGGGCTTTCACTGGGGAGCTGCCCAGGAAGAAGTGTTTGCACAGGATTCGTCATTCATTCCTCATGGCAGACCTGGAATAGTATCCATTATCATCTCCGGCACTGTCATGGATTGAATTGTGTCCCCTAGAATATGTGTCAACCCTGGCTAGGCCATGATTCCCAGTATTGTGTGGTTGTCCTCCATTTTGTGATTTGACTAGCCTCCATTTTGTGATGTCTTGTAAATCCTAGCCTCTATGCCTGTGGTTATGGTCCCATTATGCGGTGAGCTGTCCGTTATGTTAATAAGGCAGGATTAGGTTATGTTAATGAGGATTAGGGTGGGATGCAACATCCTTACTCAGGTCACAGCCCTGATATGATGTAAGGGGAGTTTCCCTGGGGTGCGGCCTGCATCATCTTTTATTTTACAAGAGATAAAAGGAGAGCAAAGCTGGCAGAAAGGAGGGAACTACTACCACCAAGAAAGAAGAGCCAAGAGCAGGGCTCATCCTATGGACCCAGGGTCCCTTCGCTGAGAACCTCCTAGACCCAGGGGAAGATTGATGCCGTGACACATGGAGATCTCCAAGGAACACTGGTCCACAGATGTTGAAAGGAGACAAGGACCTTTCCCCAGAGCCGACAGAGAGAGAAAGCTTTCCCAAGGAGCTAAACTCAGACTTGTAGCCTCCTAGACTGTGAGAGTAAACTTCTCTTTGTTCAAGCCGTCCGCTTGTGGTATTTCTGTTATAGCAGCACTAGATGACTAAGACAGGCACAGAATCTGTGAGCAAGCAGGGATGCAGGACTCAAGCGAGGTGTCTAAACCAGGACACAGAAACCAGAGCTTGAACACCAAGTTGTATGAGGCATCGCCTCTCTCCTGTAAGACCTGGAATTCTGCCTCTCCTCCAATGCCTCATCACACTGCCTTTCTTTCTTTCTTTTTTTAATTGCCGTAAAAGTATAGATAACACAACATTTGCCTATTCAACATTTTTCATGTGTACAATTCAGTCACACCAGTTACGTCAAGCATGTTGCCCAACCATCACCCCTATCCATTGCCAAATTTTCCATCACCCTAAATAAAAACTCACTGCTTCCTAAACCATGACTCCCCCTTCCTCCCTCCCTCCCACCCCTGGAAACCACTCTGAAACTTTGATCTCTATACATTTGCCTATTCTAGGTATTCCACACAAGTGAGATGGAGCAGTATTTGTCCTTTTGTGATTGACTTTCTTCACTCGGCATAATGTTTTCAAGGATCATTCCTGTTCTAGCATGCATCAGGACTTCATTTCTCTTTAGGGATGAATAATATTTCATTAACGAGCCCTGATAGTGCAGTGGATAAGCTCCTGGCCACTAACTGAAAGGTCGGAGGTACGAACCCACCAACTGCTCCAAGGGAGGAATACGTGGCATTCGGCTTCCATAAAGAGTACAGCCTTGGAAACCCTACGGGGTAGTTCTACTCTGTCTTATAGGGTCACCATGAGTCAGAATCAATTCAATGGCACTGTTTTTTTTTTTTTTATGGGAATGGCTAATAGTGGCTGAACACTTGTTTGTGGAAGGAGTACATTGGATGAACGAGCTCCCTGGACTCTGGGCTTCCTCTGCAACCCATATCCCTACCCTCAGGACAAAGGAGCCAGTGTGTCCCATCTCCAGGTGTTCTTCTTTTGGAGGACACAAGTCTAGTCCGGAAGTCCTCAGTTTGATAAGCCCTCGCTTGTTGTCTCCCGTTAGATAACAAAGTGCTCTTGAAATGGCTTATTTCCCGTATCTGTTTCATTCACCGGAGCGATGTGAGAAAGCTCTGGAAATAAAACATTTCATTTAGAAGCTATCCTGCAGCCCACAATTGGTAATTCAGAACTATCATCCGATATAAATTGGTATCATTACACCTTGAGAGCCTTGCTGAAAAAGCCTATCTGTGGCCCTCTGCCTTGCGATAGATTACTCCGGAAGCCACAATAATACAGCAGTCTTTGCTCTCGTGGGAGACGTCTGTTCAGAGTTTTTAGGAGTGAAATAGTTTACCTCTTTATAGGATCAATCTTATGAAAAATTAAATGGTTAATGGGCTCTGGGCTTTACAGATGAGATTCTGGCTTAAAACCTAAACAGTACAGAATCCAGAGTGTGCGTTTCGGCGAAGAAAGGAGCGATGGGAAATCAGAACTCCGACAACAACCTTTCCACCGTGCGTATGTGCATGTGGGCTCAGCTATTTTCTCTTGTTTTAATTCCAGCTGGTTATAAATGGTGCCTTTGATGACAGCGATAATTAAAGTTATCACTCTAAGCAACGAGTAAGCAAAAATGATGGGGAGAAGGCAAATATGTTCGGGTGTCTGCTTGCAATTTGGGGAAAATGTGCAGGGGAGAGTGATAGGTTGGGGAAGGATGCAGTATGTTTTAGTAGAAGGAGTCAGTATGATAAATGCAAGTGCGGGAGCTGTAACTAGGAGATGTAGCTGGCTTGAACAAAAGATGAGGCGCCGGCAAGACTATGGGGGTAAGAGCTGTCCGTGAGTCTTCATTGTACCCAGCCTTTAACGGACAGCCCACGTAGAGTACCAGTTACCTGTTGCCATTGAGTCAGCTCTAACTCATGGCGGCCCCATGTGTGTCAGAGGACCACTGTGCTCCATAGAGTTTTCAATGGCTGATTTTTCAGAAGTAGACCACCAGCCCTTTCTTCCGAGGTGCTTGTGAGAGAGTTTGAACCACCAACCTTTCAGTGACTAGTTGAGCACCTAACTGTGCCACGCAGGATCGGAGATCACTTAAGACTATGGCTGAAATGCATCTACTGGAATTCAAAATCACAAAGGCATCGCATGCTGAGTGTGTTAGGGTGAGTAACACTGTCGCCATTGAGTCAACTAGGACTCTGGGCGACTCCGTGCGTGTCAGAGTAGAATTCTGCTCCATAGGCCTGATTTTTTGTAGGTTTTTCTGAAGTAGGTTGCCAGGCCTTTCTTCTGAGGTGCCTCTGGGTGGACTCAAACCTCCAGCCTTTCAATTAGCGGTTAACCATTTGCACCATCCTATGTAGACTCCCCATGTAGAGTAGGAGAGTCATAAGCAAGTGTTGAATGAATGAATGAGGAAGGCTAGGACTCCACGTTACATGTGGAAGGCAGATTATTACAGAGGCATTTCTTCACAGCATTTGCTTTGTGCTACCATAGTTTTAAGGAGCCCTGGTGACGCAGTGGTTAAGTCATTGGCTGCTGAACAAAAGGTCGGTGGTTCAAACCCACCAGCCGCTCTTCAGGAGAAAGATGTGGCAGTCTGATTACAGCCTTGGAAACCCTATGGGGCAGTTCTACTCTGTCCTATAGGGTCACTGTGAGTTGGAATAGATTTGACATCAGTAAGTTTGGGTTTTTGGTTGTTTTACAGCAGATTTGCCCAGTGTAATAAGGTATTTGATTTCTGACTGCTGCGTCCATGGGTGTTGGTTGTGGATCTAAGTAAAATGAGTGTCTGTTGCACTGTATGTTATATATGACATTTCCCTCCCATTTCCATTTAACAGATGAGCCCAGGAGTTAATGCGTGTAAACCTCTCCCTTTGCTGTCTGCAGATTGGACTGTGTTAACGTTGAGTGTTTTCTTCCCTTCAGGGCAGGTCTTGAATGTTCTGGATGACATGAAGCTGGCCAATAACACCCTCGTCTACTTTTCATCAGACCACGGAGCGCATGTGGAGGAAGTGACCGCCAAAGGAGAGTGTCATGGGGGAAGCAACGGCATCTACAAAGGTGAGACGCGCCATATGCAGTGTGGGTGGTTACAGTGCAGTGCCCTCAAAGAACGACATGGCGTCCTTCTAGTTATGGGAAGTGGCCAAAGACTTTTCTTATTTTTTTTTAATAATCTATTTTATTTTCGTTGTTGTTCTTGAAAACATACACAGCCGAACACACGCCAATTCAACAGTTTCTGCACGTAGAATTCAGTGATGTTGATTATGTTCTTCAAGTTGAGCAACCATTCTCACCTTCTTTTTCTAAATTGTTCCTCCCCATTAACAGAAACTCACGGTCCCCTAAGTTTCCTATCTAATCTTTCGAGTTGTTGTCAGTTTGATCCCATATAGTTCTTACAAGAGCATGATGCTCAAGACAGACATTCTTTACTAGCAGAAACTTTTAAGCTGTGCATTCAAACACACACTTATTGTTTATGCAATCACTGGGGAATCATGCCGTTTCACCCCCAGATCAAAGGAGCACCCTCCCTGAGCAATGTATTGCCTTCTATTTGACATCAAAGCCTCTTCAAAAAGAGCTTTATTATTTGAACTTGGTTATTCTGCTGTATTTCCCAGTCAAATCTAGCTCTCTAATGAAACCTATGAGCTAATTTGATAGAATGGCTAGGATTAAATCACTCCTGTGCAAAATCAAACAGGTTATTCCTTTTTATCATAGCCACATTGCATTCTTGCCGTCGTCTGCCTCTAAAAACTGATGATTTAAAGTTACGGGGTAAGGGGGAGCCCTGATTGGTATAATGGTTAAACGCTTGGCTGCTAACCAAGAGGCTGATGGTTTGAACCCCGTCCATGGCTCTGAGGGAGAAAGACCTGGCAATCTCTCCTGTCAAGATCACAGCCTAGGACTCCCTGTGGGATGGTTCTACTCTGTCATATAGAGTTACTGTGTTGGAATCCGCTCGATGGCACACAACAACAACAAAAAGTAGCATTCTGGAATCCCTGGGTGGCGCAAAGTGTTAACACACTCGACTGCTATTGGATGCTAATTGAAAGATTGGACATTTGAGTACACTTAGAGATGACTCAGACAAAAGGCTTGACTATCAGCTTTGGAGAAATCGGCCACTGAAAACCCTGTGGAGTACTATGCTCCTTTAAAAATCACACATATGAGACCAAATGGTCAACAATGACTTTAAAACAAAGAGAAGACTGTAAGGGGGGCAGGGAAACTAGATGAATGGAAACAGAACAACCAGAATGGAAATAATGAGAATGTTCACCCATTGTGAAGAATGTAACCAGTGTCACTGAACAACTTGTGTAGAAGTTGTTGAATGGGATCCTAAGCTGCTGTGTAAACCTTCACCAGAAATACAATAAAATATTATTAAAGAAAAAAAAAGAAAACCCTATGGAGTGCAGTTGTACACTCTAACATTCATGTGGTCTCCGTGAGTTGGAATCCACTCCACAGCCACTGGTTGCTGCTTAGCGGCCCTGTTAATGGTTTTTCTTCTCGTTTATTTTAAAGGAAATGTGTTTGCATTGTGGTTATCCTGCTTAGATTTAGATATGAGTAAATTTCATCTGTCAAAAGATACTAGCATAAAGAGAAATTAGGAGACGGGGTAGGCTCATATGTATATTTTGAATGTAATTCTGGCCAAATTCTAGAAATCTTGGCAATAAGCCAATCATATAGTAGTTCCTGGAATAGTTACCTCAGAGAACCTTTTAAGATCCTTTTCCTCCCGTCCACGTGTTTGGAATGATTGCGTCCACCTAATAAAACCAGTTTAATAAGTAAGAATATGTTTTTCCACTTAAAAATCAATGGATCATTGTCTCCATTAGAGTTTCTAATTAATTTGGCCGCATTCCCCTGCTGAGTTATTATGATTCCCATCAAGAGCAAGATAAATGCGCAAATTCTATCCCAAAAAACAAAACGAGTCACCGTTTAGTTGATTCCGACTCACGGCGTCCCCGTGTGTTTCAGAGGAGAACTGTGCTCCGTAGGGTTTCCAGTGGCTGATTTTTATGTCCGAGGTGCTTCAGGGTGGCCTGGAACCTCCAGCCTTTCAGTTAGCAGCCGAGCGGTTCACCCTCTGCACCACCCAGAGGCTCCACAGATTCCATCAGGCCTTGTGAAACATTGAAAATGCCCACGTTGCCACTCTGAGACTTGGCAGTAGAAACCACCGCTTTCAACTAAGGCAGGATTTGGGATTTCCTTATAATCCTAAATTCTCTCTGTTGTGAAACGTGGGGTTGTGTCTGTCAAGTTGTGTTCTTGCCTCTGGGCGGGTATTGGGGTCTGTTTAGCTCAGGTGGACAGGTGAGTCTTGAGAAGCCCTTCACTATATTACCTGCATCTGGGTAGCGGGCGAGGAGCTCACGCCAATAGTCCTGCAATCTGCAGTTGCTTACCAAAGGAGCAAATGTTCTCACCTGGCCTTTGCTTCATGTGTGGGCCATGGTGTTTAGCACCCTGGGGACTCCCCTTGCAGAAAGGGGTTTAAACTAACTCATGGGTGCTCCGTCTCAGATTGCATTGCAGGCTTCTCTCTGGGCAACCTCTCAAAGGTAGAGGTCTCTGGGGCTCTGTTCTGCACCCCTACCCTACTGTCATGGATTGAATTGTGTCCCCCACAAATGTGCGTCAACTTGGCTAGGAGCTTCTCCACGGAGGAACCCCGAGTCCAAAGGACGAGCTCTGCTCCCAGCACTGCTTTCTTGGTGGTATGAGGTCCCCCCATCTCTCTGCTCGCTTCTGTCTTTTATATCCCAGAAGAAACCAGCTGAAGACACAGTCCAATCCCAAAGACTGAGTCCCGCCTCATCAACACAGCTGCCGCCCGTCCCCCCTCATTAACATCCTAGAGGCAGGATTTACAGCAGTAGGAAAATCGCATCAGATAACAAAATGGTGGGCAATCACACAATACCAGGAATCATGGCCCAGCCAAATTGATACACACATTTTTGGGGGGACATAATTCAATCCATGATAGTAAGCAAGTAAGAAAAGCAGAGATGGGGGAAGAGAGATGCCAAGCCACATGAAGACTGCCCAGGAGCAGGAGCTCAGATGAGACAAGGACCTTCTCCCAGAGCAGACAGAGAGAGAAAGCCTTCCCCTAGAGCTGGCGCCCTGAATTCCGACTTCTAGCCTCCTGAACTGTGAGAGAATACGTTTCTGTTTGTTAAAGCCACTCACTTGTGTTATTTCTGTTATAGCAGCACTAGGTAACTCAGACATCCACCAAATCAGAATTCTCTGTTCTCTCCCACCACAGACGTTCATTACAGCCCCCCTATTTTAATTCTTGGCACATCTGATGATTTATGTGTTTATGAATGTATTTGCTCCTAGTCTGTCTCTTTTTACTTATTATAAAGTAAGATCCGTGGGAGCAGGAATCTGGGCTGCTTTACTCAGTGCTGTATTCCCAGTGCCCAACGTAACCACTTAGTACCTGTTCAATGCCACCTGCCTGTCTGTCATACTGTTGCTATGATGCTGAAAGCTATGCCACCAGTATTTCAAATACCAGCAAGATCACCCATGGTGGACAGGTTGCAGTGGAACTTCCAGACTAAGACAGACCAGGAAGAAGGACCTGGTGACCTACTTCTGAAAACGCTCTGGATCACAACAGAACATTGTTCAAGTCACTTGTTTTGGTCGCGTCATCAGGAGGGATTAATTGCTGGAGGAGGACATCATGTTTTCGCAATAGACAGCCAGCAAAGGCGAGGGAGACCCTCAGTGAGACGAATTGGCATGGTAGCCACAGCAGTGGACCCAAACATCCTGGAGGCCATGAGGATGATGCTGGACCAAGCAACATTTCCTTCTGTTGTATGTAAGGTCACCGTGATCAGAGTCCACTCACTGACAACTGTCTGTCTGTCTAGCTACCTACCTACCTGTTGTTGTTGTTGTTAGGTGCAACTGAGTCGGTTCCGACTCACAGCAACCCTATGTGCTACAGGATAACACGCTGCCCCGTCCTGCGCCATGCTCACAATCGATGCTATGCTTGAGCCCATTACTGCAGCCACTGTGTCAGTCCATCTCGTTGAGGGTCTTCCTCTTTGTCGCTGACCCTCTACTTTACCAAGCATGATGTCCTTCTCCAGGGACTGGTCCCTCCTGATAACATGCCCAAAGTATATGAGACGGTCTTGCCATTCTCACTTATAAGGAGCCTTCTGTCTGTACTTCTTCCAAGACAGATTGGTTCATTCTTCTGGCAGTCCATGGTATATTCAATATTCCTTGCCAGCACCACAAGTCAAACACATCAGTTCTTCTTTGGTCTTCCTTATTCATTGTCCAGCTTTCGCATGCATATGAGGCGATTGAAAATACCATGGCTTGGGTCAGGCACAGCTTAGTCTTCAAGGTGACGTCTGCTTTTCAACACTTTAAAGATGTCCTTTGCAGCACATTTGCCCAATGCAATGCGTCTTTTGATTTCTTGACTGCTGCTTCCATGGGTGTTGATTGTGGATCCAAGTAAAATGAAATCTTTCACAACTTCAATCTTCTCTCCATTTATCATGATGTTGCTTATTGGTCCAGTTGTGAGGATTTTTGTTTTCTTTATGTTGAGGTGTGATCCATACTGAAAGTGTAGTCTTTGATCTTCATCAGTAAGTGCTTCAGGTCCTCTTCACTTTCAGCAAGCAAGGTTGTGTCATCTGCATAACGCAGGTTGTTAATAAGTCTTCCTCCAATCCTGATGCTCTGTTCTTCTTCATATAGTCCAGTTTCTTGGATTATTTGCTCAGCATACAGATTGAATAGGTATGGTGAAAGGATACAACCCTGACGCACACCTTTCCTGACTTTACCCACGCAGTATCCCCTTGTTCCGTCCAAACAACTGCCTCTGTTCTGTCTGAACTGCCCTTGTTCTGTTCGAACAACTACCTGCCTATCTGCCATTTATTTATTTCTATATCTATCATTTATCTATCTCTACATCTGACTCTATGGGGCAGCTCTACTCTGTCCTATAGGATTGC